CAACTGATTAAATTTGTGTGTTTAGAAAAATAACCTGAAACTGGAGCAAATGCAGGTGGAAAGCAACGTGTCTAAAACAGTTACAACAGGAATAAAGGAGACCCTGAAGAAGCGAGCCTGTGGCAGCCTGGGTGTGAGAACCCAAACGCTGCCCTGGAGCACGGGGAGTTGCTGGGGCCAGGCTGCATTCCAGCACTTGGGGAAGCAGCAGTGGCTCCAGTGGGGCTCCAGCGGGGCTCCAGTGGGGTTCCAGTGGGGCTCCAGTGGGGCTCCAGCTGGGTTCCAGTGAGGCTCCAGTGGGGCTCCAGCTGGGTTCCAGTGATCTCCCGGGGATCCTGGCCAGCCCAGCCCCATGGAGAGTGCAGCACAGGCAGCTGCACATTCCCGGCTCTCCTCCCCCACAGGCCAGGCAGGGGATTAGCCGGCAGGTTTGGAAAGCCGAGGAGCTTAGTGCCAAGCCTTGTGCGGGTGCGTTTCCATGCAGGAGCTGGAGCAGTCGCTGGCAGACTGGGCCCACGACATGAAGGAGCTGCAGGCCATGAAGGCGGAGCTGGCACACCTCATCCTCACCGAGGACATGATGGTGCTCAAGGAGCAAGTGGAGCATCTGCACAGGCAGTGGGAAGAGCTCTGCTTGCGGGTGAGTCTGAACGTGCTGCGGGGTGTTTTTAGCGGGGTGACATCCCTGGGGCCCGCTGGGAAGGGGGAGCAGGCCAGCACAGGGGCTTCTCCTGGCCTGGCTCCCTCCGGCAGCTCTGGGTGGGAATGGGGCCGCTCCGGGCGCAGCTGGCCCGGGATGGAGCTCCCCTTTGTGTCCCGGACAGGCTGCCGAGGGTTTTGTTGCAAACCCTTTGTAAGAAGTGAGTGTGGAACTGCACAGAGCCCAGATGCAGCTGTTTACTGGAAGAGGTGTCTTTGTTCTGGGCTGCCAAAGGCAGGGAGGGATGAGCACGGGAATTGCCTGGGGGCGTGGAGCAGAAAAGGGAAGAGGGAAGTTAAAATAAAATGCCAGCAAAAAGGAAGCTTAAATGTGCTTAAATACTAACTCCTTGGGTTTGGACACCGAGAACTGATTTGTCTTTTTTGTAGCAGGAAAATGCTGTGAAATATTTGCATTCTCTGTGGCTTGTTGCTGTATTACACTTAATTTAGTGTTGCATTTAAAATTGCTGGGGAGCATATACAGCAAAGTCACATGGACTTGATGCATTAGGTTATTATGCAGTTTGAATGTGTGCTTACTTTGACCTATTAACAGGATTGGAAGAGGTAAAATACTTCGGGGTCTTAACTTACTCTGAAGAGGTCTACATACCAGCAAGCCAAACTCATGTATCTCTTTACTGACAAGTAAATAGCTTTTATTTTACAGTTTGTAGAGAGGTATTGAAGCCAGTTAGTATTTTGTTTCTAACTCTTACACAAGCACAGGTAAAGCAATCTTGGTGGGGATGTTGCCACAGTAATGAACAGCTGTGCTTATTTCACAAACTGTGTTGTGATGAAATAAATATTTGGTTTGATTGAAGTAGTAATTATTTTTTTTTTGCATTGCAGTGAGAAAAAATAATTTATTTTCCCTAAACTAGTCAGAAGTTCTACAAGCCATTATTTTTTAAATCAAAATACCTGAACCATCTTCCTAATCAAAATCTGTAGTTAAGCCTATAAATGAAAGAACTTTGTTCTTTTTCATTTTTTTGGTGAGCTACTGAAGCCTGCTGTCCCCACTGTGTTGAACAGCCCTGAAAATTAAAATTTTTATATGTGCTCCACTACAATCTATCCAAGTAGTAATTTCCTGTAGTAATTTAAGTTCAGATTTTATTCAAAATTTCCATTTTAATTTCCTGAGGGAACAACGTGGAGTTCAGTCTGTCTTGGAGGGAGGAAAGAGGTAACAGTAATGTGTTAGGCACACAGAATCCATAGTGGGAGGAATCTGTTGAGTGCTGTAGTGGAGGGAGACTCTGAATGTTTGTACAGCCCTAATGAGCCTCCGGAGAGCCCAGAGTGATGTTCAGTGCTGGACACCAGGGTAAGAGAACAGACTTTATCAGCTCTGCTGTTGGCATGACTGCTTTGTTTTGGATAATAACTTAGAGTCAAGATGTATTGTGTGAAGGAAAGTCTGCAGAATAAATGCAGGGAGGTGAAAGAGCTGCAGCTGTCACAGCCCAGGGGCAGCCAGATGCCTGTGCTCAACTGGGCAGAGGGAGCAGATGCACTCAAGGGATTAGCATTTACAGAGCTGCCCTTGCAAGGTGCATGTAGGTCACAGATTTAATCATTCATCCCAGCTACCATCCTGATGGATGTTATTTTAGCCTCCTTTTGGAATGCACAGGATGCTCAATGGTGGGTGCAAAATGGGGGTGGTACCAGGGCAGCTGGACAGAGCCTTGCCCTGTTCTGAGCAGGCAAATATGGAGTCAGAATCACATCAGCATTTAGAGCTTGCTTTGCTGACAAGCATAGTCTGTCCTTCCACTGACAGAGTAAACTCGCCTCCATATGTGGGAGATGCTGCAGGTGGTAAGGAAGGATGAAGGGTTCACCCTCCAAACCTCTGAGGTTGAAGGTACACAGGAGCATCCCAGAGCAGAGACACTCTTAGAAACTTTCTGAGGTCCCTGGCATCTCCAGGCTTTTTTCCTATGGAGAACTTGGGAGACTGTTTCCCTGTGTCCTAAGACACTGCTTTCATCCTCATCTCTTTGCTTAGATTGTCATGAAGGATTCAGAAATCCCTTTCACCTCTCCATCCCCTCCTTGAAAATAAGTCAGAATTTAAGGGACAAAAGTAATGTGGTGGGAGATGGCTTGGTACCTTCAGTTTTGAACGTGGTGTTACATGGGAGATGGCCTTGCTTCCACACTACACATTTAAACTTCAATCTGCAGTACAAAATCGTGATGGAGATTAGTCTAGAAGAATCAGTAATGGAATTTTGAGGAGTAACATGCTGTATAAAGCGCATGTGAGATGTGAAGAGGGAGTGTTTTCTGCCATGGGGAGATACTTAGAGGGGACATTTACAGCCAAGACAACCAAAACGTTATTCAAAGTCTTTAGACAGAATTTATTGGTGAGAATGAGGGGTTATTTGTTTCTCTTGCTTCAGTAGAGCTTGAACCATTTTTCACTTCCTTTGTCTCATATATCTTATTGCAGGAATCCATCAAGGTAAAGAAAATATATTTAAGAGCTCTAGGCTAGAGACAGGTGCTATTAGCTAGTTAGAAGTGTGACCCTGCTTATTTCTGAGATATTGGAGCAATGATAATAACTCTGCTTTTCCAGGCAGTATCAGACCTTAATTCTCTGGCTAGACAATTAGTTTATCCATCCTGGAAAATGTATTTTTGATGGGGAGAAAAAAATCCATAGTTTTCAATGAAAAGGATATATTCTTGCTGCTGATTTTTTAGAAGTTCTCCAATTACCAGTGGGCAAATGGAAAGAGAAGAGGGAGGCTTTTACAGAGCTAAAATAATTGCAGTTGGTAGTTGCAAAGTTTATCTTAGAGTGGCAGAAAAAGAAGAACTTATTTAGGTGTTATTTCTCTTGTGTCATAAATGGGGCCATACTAAACAGTATGCAGTAATTATGTATTTTATATTCCTTCTGTGTGTTTGACATTTTCAGGTTTTCACTGTGTAACATTTAAATTATTATATAAGCACATTATTTATAAAGCTGTCACACAGTTTTATTCTTCTGAGGGAGAGAATCTGGTATTTGCTACTCGACTTTTTGCCCTGCTATCATCAAAATAAGATGTAATAACAATCTGCTTGCTGGCTTTGGAAAGGTGTCCCTGCGGAAGCAGGAAATCGAGGATAGGCTCAATGCCTGGATCGTGTTCAATGAGAAGAATAAGGAGCTGTGCTCCTGGCTGGTACAAATGGAAAGCAAGGTGTTGCAGACTGCAGATGTTAGCATTGAAGACATGATAGACAAATTGCAGAAGGTAAATAGTAATGGCACTTTTCTTCAATTGCAGTCCGATAACTCATTATAGAGGCACCATTCCTCGTGTGTTCCTTGCTTCTTGGAAGTGATACGTGGTGTAAAACCAGCACATACAGGCTTTTGTGAGATGAGCTTTTCTATCATTATCTCTTCTTGATGTTCAGACTTGGAGCTTAAAGCAGAACAGAAATGCCACTGGACTGCATTTAGTCATGGAGTGTGATCTGTGTGAGCTGTGGTGGTGGGGTCTGGGTTCTTGGGGTTTTTGGGCACACGTGAACACCAAGCACTGCTCAGAGTGGTGTCCCGGGGGCAGCTCACTGCTCCCACCACCTCCATCATCCACACAACTGGTAGGCAGAAGACAAAGAAAAGACTGAAGGATGGGGTAGGTCTTATGCCAAGTGAGCAAGAAGTTACCACAACCAAAAATAATTCTGCCTCTTTCCCC